CGTCCTCTCTCAGTGGATGAGGGCCTCACACACTCCCCCCCCCCCATACCCTGTCTCTACAAGCAGCATCGGTGGGCTGCAGTGCCCTGGCCAGGGGCTGACTCTCTTCTCAGACCCCTGCTCACCGGCTGAGCGAGAATCTCCCTTGCCCTGCCTCTCTGTCCTGACTTCGATCCAAGTTGTTTCTGCTCTGACTGGCTGCCTCCCTTCTTCCTTGGTCCCTAAAATCAGCAACAGGCTCTCTTGCAAGAGCAGAAGTCTTCATGTTAATGAGTGCAGCCTCTCCGCTCTCTCCCATGGATGTCGCCTTGGAGTCCCGTCTAACACATGTGCTGTATACCACAGTGAGAATAGAATTGGAACATTCCAGAAAATATTTTAATGAATCAGTGGATCCAAGGATGGATGTACAGTGTGACGACAGAGAGAGAGACAGAGGGAGTGTGAGAGAGATTTCTTATAAAGAAATTGTGCCGGCCGGTGCCGCGGCTCACTAGGCTAATCCTCCGCCTAGCGGCGCCGGCACACCGGGTTCTAGTCCCGGTCAGGGCGCCGGATTCTATCCCGGTTGCCCCTCTTCCAGGCCAGCTCTCTGCTGTGGCCAGGGAGTGCAGTGGAGGATGGCCCAGGTGCTTGGGCCCTGCACCCCATGGGAGACCAGGAGAAGCACCTGGCTCCTGGCTCCTGCCATCGGATCAGCACGGTGCTCCGGCCGCAGCGCGTCGGCCGCGGCGGCCATTGGAGAGTGAACCAACGGCAAAAGGAAGACCTTTCTCTCTGTCTCTCTCTCTCACTGTCCACTGTGCCTGTCAAAAAAAAAAAAAAAGAAATTGTGCATGTAACTCTGGATCCCCAAGTCCCAGCCTTGCGCTCAGCTGTGGGGACCCTCGGGAGCACCGGGTTTCCTGTGCGGACTCCGCTGCAAGACTGAGAACCCAGAGCACACCGTCTGCTCCAGTCCCAGCAGGGCAGGAGTGAGACCCAGAGACGCTGGTGCTGTCACTCAGGTCTGGCGTGGGGACACACCAGGTCCCAGCTCAGGTGGTGAGCAGGGAGGAAGATCTGATCTCCAGCTGGGTTTCTCCCCTTCTGGCTGGGGCTGGCGGAGCGACACTCACAGCCGCACTGTCGGCTTGGGCTCAAGCTTCCTGTCCCAATGTCTTCCTTCCAGAAACATTTCAGGGCAGTCGCAGAGGGAGGTTGGACACACACGTGGGCATCCGGGACCCAGCCGTGGGGACAGCGCTCGGGAGCCGGCGTGGTGTTGCAGAGGCTAGGACAGCAGACTGGGAGTTGTGAGCGGCTCTGCAGTGGCACCCATTGGCTTGGCTGAATCCAGGATGGAGAGGATCTGCACACAGCCCAGCTCGTCCTGGCCAACCCGAGAGCCTGGAGCGGGCCCGGCCCTGCCTCTCCGACAGCTCCTTCAAATGACAAGGACAGAGCTGAGCACTGCTCAGAGGGCCTCTTCTAGGACCCACAGAAGGTCTAAGCAGGAACAAAATGAAAGGAACAGAGGAACCAAGGCCCTTCCAGAACACTGGCCAGACAGGAGGCGCCCAGAAACACAGGCAACAGATTGAATGAAATCAGCCCCGGGACACACAGACAGCAGAGCAGGCGCTCTGTAGGGGGTCTGGGCCTCTAAGGAGGCACCTGTGTCCCCCATGGGCGAGCCTGGGATCCACACACACACACACACACACACACACACACACACCCGCCTCCAGACTGCAGCTTCCGGCTACCACAGACCCCGGGAGGCAGCAGTGATGGCTCAGATCTGGGCTTCCTGTCGCCATGGAGTCCTGCTTCAGTTCTCTGAGCTCTGTGATCCATACAGCCCAGGGCCAGCCCCAGCTGTTGCAGGGGACAGAGGAGTGTGAACCAGCGATGTGGTGTTCTCTCTCTCTCTCTATCTCTTTCTGTGACTATCGACAGCTCTCTCTGTGAGTGCCGCTCTCTCTCCACATTTGATATATGCGAATCATAATTGCACACAGAGAGCAAAGGGACAGTGTGCAGAGACACAAAGAGAAAGCGTCAGGAGGCAGAGCTGAAACAGAGCCCTGGGCCCCGGAGGAAGGCAGATGGACAGCAGCACCAGAGGAAGCGCAGTGTTGTGTCACATGGCACAGGTGCAGGTGCAGGTGCAGGGGAGGGGGAGGGGGAGGGGGAGGGGCAGACAGTTAGGAGAGAACCACTGGCAGGGACAAGGGCATCAGGAGAGAACCCAGCACCGAGATGAGGAGACACCAGCACAGAAGGAGGCAGCCTGGGCATCTGGTCACGTGTGCATGTGTGTGTCTGTCTGTGTTTGCAGATCTTACATGGAGAACCCTGTCCCCGGCCACCTGCTATGTGCGGGTCACACACCTCATAGACAACATGGACAGTGACAAAGTACACGTGGAATCTTCCCCACATGCTCCTAAATAAACTTAGGTTTTCAAAATAAACGTATGTTCTCACTCCATTCTGCCTAAGTTTTTTAAAATTTCTTTTTTGCAACGGAACGGTAGAGAGACAAAGAGGGTAAGACAGAATGAGAAGTCTTGTATCTGGTGACTCACTGCCTGTATGGCCACAACACTGGAGCTGGGCCAGGTCACAGCCAGGAGCCCAGGGGCTACTGAGGATTTCCACATGGGCGGCAGGAGCCGGGTTTCGAGCCGTTGTCTCTGCTTGCACTAACGCGTAGCAGGGAGTGGGGTTGGAAGAGGAGCAGCTGGGACTCCGGGGGTGTCCCTGACAGGGGAGGCGGCTGCACAGCTGGTGGCCTAACCCACGGTGCCACACAAACAGCCCGCAACAGAATGATCCTGTCATATCCCGTGGCCTTTTTGTCATTGTCTCCAGTGGGCTGACACGTATGTGCAGGTAATATGTACCTGCACACAGGTGTGGTCATGTACAATCCATGTTGATTCCCTTACAACAAAGCCAGGTCACTCCCTAAATACCAAATTCCACCCAAGATCCAACTCATACACACTCACACACACTCTCACACTCACACCCACACACCTTCACAACCCGCTCGCTCATACCACTCTCACTCACACTCACACTCACACCACACTCACATTAACACACTCACACATATACTAATCACACTCACACACATAGACACACACTTACACACATACACTCGTGCACAATCTCACACTCACACTCGTGCACACACTCACACATACACACTCACACTCATGCACATTCACACCCACTCACCTCACATTCACATACTCACACATACACCTACACACACTCACACAGACTTGCACACAATCACACACATACACTCATGCACAATCTCACACTGAAACACACACACTTGTGCACTCATGCACAATCTCACACTCAAACATATACACTCACACTCAAACACACACTCACACATACACTCACACCTATGCACACCCACTCACACATTCACACACATCCACACTCACACACTCACTCACACACACACCCAGGCACCTGCACCCCACAGGCTCCCCAGGAGCAGCACAGGAGCATATGCCAGGGAAGGTTCTAGAAGGACCCACCAGGACCTGGAGGCTCTGTGACTCCCCCGACATGGTTCCCCCGCTGGATCAGAGGGTGGTGGTTCCAGGAGGCCCGAGGGCTGCACAGCTCCTGTGTCTGCAGAAATGGTGCGGAGTTTGCACACAGCCTTGCACGGGCTCCTGCACAGATAACCCCCTGGAATCCTCGCCCCCCAGCCTCTACTCGCTGTGTGCAACCTTCCTAGACAGCAAGTGGGGAAACCACAACAGATAGCAGTGAGTGCATGGGCTCAGTACGCTGGCCATGTCTGGTCATAACTATGGACGGCAATGGTTGACTGGGTGGAGGGACACGCGTGCCAACTGGGTGACGATGCAGTGGTGGGAGGCGAGCGTCACGAGCATTCTGGTCTTAGCCATGCTGTGTCTGACTTGCACACACGGGTCAGAGACCAGCACTCAGATTCTCCACGGGCACCCTGCTCCATGCCTCTCTCGACTGTTTTAGCCACAGGAGAACTTCACTCAGCCTCACATTGGAACTGTCACTCACAGGGACACGAGGGACACAGGAGCACCTTAGAGAAACTCCACGGCTGAGAACTGGACACACGAGGCAGAAAGGGACAAAGACCAGAGGCCAGCTCCAGGCTGTGTTGCAGGCAGGGATCCGTCCTCAGAATCCTAACCTGCTGGTCTCTGTCTGTGCTAGCTCTGTGGGATTACACAGAGGAGGGGCAGTCCCATTACACCTGGAAGGCCTGGCAAGGAAAGGGGCCATCATTCTGAACAGGGCATGATGCCTAAAATAAGGAGCCTGTGATGTCCAGCATGGACGGGACAGGTGGGGACTTGAGAGACACAGCCAGCAACCCATGAACAACCTCGCTGGGCTGTGCCCCGCTCCAGGCGTCTCTGATTCCAGCTATTCTGCTTGTGCTGAAGTCCAGCCCAAGCTGGAGGCAGAGGAATTTTGCCCGACTCAGGAAGCAAAATCGCAGACTGGCTGTTTCGAAACTTCTCTGCTAAGCCAGGTGAACTCAGGATGGGGAGAGCCCAGCCGTCCCCGCCCTGCCAGCTCCACTTCCAGGACGGGCCCAGCCCATTCTCAGCCTATATAAAGTGCAGCCCGGAGCCCAGCTCACACACCTGCTCCGCAGCCCCAGCTCCCGCACTCCCGCCCGCTCAGCCTTCTCCCTCCTGCAGCCATGGCCAGCAAGTCCACCGTGAGGACCCAGACCAGCGTCAGCCGCCGCGGCTTCAGCACCAGCTCCGCCAGACTCCCCAGGGGCAGCCACTCTGGCTTCAGCTCTGTCTCTGTGTCCCGCTCCAGGGGCGGTGCGGGGCTCGGGGGAGCCTGTGCAGGCGCTGGCTTTGGAAGCCGCAGCCTCTATGGCGTGGGGGGCTCCAGGAGGATCTCCGTGGTGGGTGGCAGCTGTGGCGTCGGAGGCGGCTACACCAGCAGATTTGGAGGCGGCTATGGCTTCGGAGGTGGAGCCGGCAGCGGATTTGGTTTCGGCGCAGGCATGGGGGGCGGCTTGGGGCTCGGCGGTGGAGCTGGTTTTGGCGGCGGCTACGGGGGCACCGGCTTCCCCGTGTGCCCCCCTGGAGGCATCCAAGAGGTCACGGTCAACCAGAGCCTCTTGACGCCCCTCAACCTGCAAATCGACCCCACCATCCAGCGGGTGAGGACGGAGGAGCGCGAGCAGATCAAGACCCTCAACAACAAGTTCGCCTCCTTCATCGACAAGGTGAGCCGGGACCTTCGGCAAATGCGGGACTCAGCAGCGGGAGGGAAGTTTGGTTTCAGCTCTGTGCAAATCACTTCATTGATGGCAGGTGCGGGTTTCTGCTCGTTCCCGCATCCTGGGTGGGAAGGGGCTTGGCAGACAGGACATTATTGCTTGCCCTGGGGCTCCTCAGCTACTGCGGGACAGACATGGACTCTGTGCTCACATACCGGGGCTGATGGCCCAGGAAGGCCACAGGTTCCAGGCAGCAGCAGTGCCTGGGCCTTTGCAGCTCCCCCCACTCCAGCCAGCCATTCCCGGTGCCGGCTGTGCCCTGAGAGTGGGAGGCTGGGGGCTTCCCTCTGGGTCTCCCCACCCCCACCAGACACAGGCCAAGCAGAGCCCCCAGGAAAGGTTTAGGAGAAGCAGCAGATGAGAAGCAGGGAAGTCACAGCAAAGCCAAGTGTCTCCACCTTCCAACTCGGCTCCCCGCAGGTGCGCTTCCTGGAGCAGCAGAACAAGGTCCTGGACACCAAGTGGACGCTGCTGCAGGAGCAGGGCACTCGGCCCGCGAGGCAGAGCCTGGAGCCGCTGTTCGAGCAGTACATCAGCAACCTCCGGAGGCAGCTGGACAGCATCCTCGGGGAGCGGGGCCGCCTGGACTCGGAGCTGCGAGGCATGCAGGACCTGGTGGAGGACTACAAGAAGAAGTGAGTGACGTGGGGGAGCGGCTCAGGGGCTGCCGGGACAAGGTCCCGGCCAGGGTGACTGCGTCCAGACCAGGGCCCCATTCCTGAGCTGCAGCATCCGAGGGCTGGGACATGAACCTGACAGTGTCCGAGGACCTCTGATGGCACAGAAGCACCACGCGAGAGGGCTTGAGCACGGGACAGTGAGGGGCACCCTAGGCTGCCTGTCAGGCTCTCAGTGCCATGAGCTCAGCCTGGTCTATTTCTGTTCGTGCAAACTCTGGGGGCCTGGCCGGGCCTCTGCCGCCTGCTGCCCCCCGCCCCAGCCCTGTCCTGTCTTCTCCGAGCAGATATGAAGATGAAATCAACAAGCGCACGGCGGCCGAGAATGAGTTTGTGACTCTGAAGAAGGTGAGCCTATGATGTCAGCAGCAGGTGTCTGGCTGAGGGCGGGGCTTGTCTCTGAGTCCCTGCCCACCCTGGGGCAGACCTGGGACCCAGCAGTGGGGACCCAGCAGGGGGCGCTCTGCTGACCTCAGCCCGTGGCCCCTTTCCCCAGGACGTGGACGCCGCCTACATGAACAAGGTGGAGCTCCAGGCTAAGGTGGACGGTCTCACCGACGAGATCAACTTCCTGAGAGCCTTCTATGACGCGGTCAGTGGCTCCACCCACCGTGTATCTGCCCCACTCAGAGTCTGCGTGGGGGCTCATGCCGGGCTCAGGCCCTCAGAGACCCCCAGGGCACAGGGGTCACGGAGCTCTCCCCACAGGAGCTGTCCCAGATGCAGACCCACGTCTCCGACACGTCCGTGGTGCTGTCCATGGACAACAACCGGCACCTGGACCTGGACAGCATCATCGCCGAGGTGAAGGCGCAGTACGAGGACATCGCCCAGAGGAGCCGCGCCGAGGCGGAGGCCTGGTACCAGACCAAGGTGGGCAGGGCGGGGCAGCCACTGCGGGATTCCCGGGGCCCTCCCTGAACCCCAGAGGCTGCAGATAACTGGGGTCCCCTCCTGAGAGAAGACGGGCTGTCATATGAGCCAGTGCCCCCTGCCGGGTCATTATGGTAACGTTATTACAAGCCTGATACATGGTTTCCATGGAGAAACCCACATGGGCCAGCCAGTGGTCTAGCAGTAGGACGCCTGCATCCCACATGGGAACCCTGCTCTGGCCGCTGAGTTCAGATCCTGCTCGGGTGCAGTCAGGGCGCAGCTCTTGGCTCCATGAGTGCTTCCTGCTGCACCTGGGAGATGGGGATGAGTTCCTGGACCTGGTTGTGTCCAGCCCTGCTGTTGGCAGACATCTGGGGCTGAGGCAGGGGATGGTGTCTCTCCGTCCTCAGTTCTGGATCTGTCTCTACCTCTCATTTGCTCTCAAAACCCTACCGTGCGGCTCACCGATGTTGTCTCCCCCGCCCTCCCCGCCGCAGTACGAGGAGCTGCAGGTCACGGCCGGCAGACACGGGGACGACCTGCGCAACACCAAGCAGGAGATCGCGGAGATCAACCGCATGATCCAGAGGCTGAGGTCTGAGATCGACCACGTCAAGAAGCAGGTGCGCGGGGGTGGGGCCAACTCGCTCTGGTGTCTCTGCTGCACCCTAGGCTCGCATCGGGCAAGATGCTGGGACTTCCCTACCCTAGGGGGCTGAGCAGGGGTGGACCCAGCCTAGGGCAAGAAACCCACGTTGTGGGAACAGTGCCAATTCCACCAGGGAATGGCAGATAAATGTGATCTGGGAGATGGAGATGCTCAGAGCCTCTGCCTGCTCTCCCCCGCCCCAGTGCGCCTCCCTGCAGGCGGCCATCGCCGACGCCGAGCAGCGCGGGGAGCTGGCCCTCAAGGACGCGCGGGCCAAGCTGGAGGGGCTGGAGGACGCCCTGCAGAAGGCCAAGCAGGACATGGCGCGGCTGCTCAGGGAGTACCAGGAGCTCATGAATGTGAAGCTGGCGCTGGACGTCGAGATCGCCACCTACAGGAAGCTGCTGGAGGGCGAGGAGTGCAGGTGAGCCCGCCCCTCCCTCTGCACCTGGGTACACAGGCTCCTGGTCTGAGCCAGCCCAGGGCTCCCAGTGGGGGCCCAGCTGTGTCCCTCTGGGACCACGGGAGGGCCGCTGGCCATGCCCCGGTCCTCAGTGGGGCTCCTAGGTCTCACCTCCCCCGTCCTCTCTCCTAGGCTGAGTGGCGAAGGCGTTGGACAAGTCAACATCTGTAAGTGCTTGCTTCCTTCCTCCCTGCCCTGGCGCTCCTGGGACTGGGCTGGGGCTGGGCACAGGTGCTCACCAGCTCATGCTGTGTGCTTGTGTGCACCCTGCAGCCGTGGTGCAGTCCACCGTGTCCAGCGGCTACGGCGCCAGTGGCAGCGGCGCAGGTGTGGGCGGCGGCAGCAGCTACTCCTACAGCAGTGGCCACGGGCTCGGAGGCGGCTTCAGTGCTGGCAGCGGCATCGGCCTCGGCCTCGGGGGCGGCCTGGGCTCCGCCGGGGGCAGCGGTGCCTCCATCAAGTACAGCAGCACCACCTCCAGCAGGAAGAGCTACAGGCACTGAGCCCCACCCCTGATGCGTGGCCCCCAGCCCTGGGCCCCCGCCTGGCTGCAGAGACCTGGGGCAGGCGGCCTGCCCTGCCCTGGCCTCAGCTCCGTCCTGCTCTCTGCTTGGAGCTGAGGCTGCCGAGGGCCCCTCCCTCCTCCTCTCTGTCCACCGAGCTGTGCCCGAGCGCCCTTGTCACCATCACAGGGCACCTCTGCCCTCTCACAGTTTCTTAGCCACTTCCTGTGCCTCTGTCCCCACAGTTCTGTCTCCGAGGGTGTGCATTGCAGCACTAGTGTCTCTGCCCCTCTTCTTTCTAGAAAATTCTCTCTGGTCCATTCCAGAACAGAGCCCTTTGCCTTTCTCTTCCACTGGGCCAGACATCCCCATTCTCGCAGTGGGGTGATCCTGCCTGGCCGTGGCCATGGGCACACGAGGGGCCGTCCCGTGGTTACACAATGCGTGTCCACACAGGTGGTGTCCACTGCTCTTCCCTCTGCCCGTGCTTTCTCGTGATTATAAATAAAGCAGATTTCCATGACCTGTGTCTTTCTTGCTGCCTGGTTGGAGGACACAGGATCTGCTCCTCCACCCGGGGATCAGTGTACCCTCATGCTGACCCAGAGTCCTCCCCCATGCGTTGTGCTCCTGTCCTTATGGGGGATCAGGAAACCCCAGACTCCTCTGTGTCAGGTTCCCTGCAGGATCCAACCACACATATGCAGCTCCTAGACCGGGAGCATCAGGCCAGAGTCCAGGTCACTGCACTGACCCCACACAGAGACAATCAGGGCAAAAGTCACGTGAGAAAGTCTAGGATATTGGAGTCATCCTTCAGTCCGAGCGAGAGAGGAGATGCCGTGGAGAAGCCCCGGATGGGGACCCCTGCTCCCACACTGGGTGTCAGCACGGGTCCCAGGGGCTCTCCTTGTGGTCCAGCGCTCTGCTCAGGCACTGGGAGCCTCTGGTTAGGGATCAGGTACCAAATTCCAACTCAGTCCTGGCAGCTGCATGGAGTGACCCAGCAGAGGTACAAGCACCCTCTTCTGGCCGGCACCACGGCTCACTAGGCTAATCCTCTGACTGCGGCGCCCCCACTGCAGGTTCTAGTCCCGGTTGGGGCGCCAGATTCTGTCAAGGTTACTCCTCTTCCAGTCCAGCTCTCTGCTGTCACTCGGGAGGGCAGTGGAGGATGGCCCAGGTCCTTGGGCCCTGCACCCACGTGGGAAACCAGGAGGAAGCAGCTGGCTCCTGGCTTCAGATCAGCGCAGTGCAATGGCCATAACGTGCCAGCCATAGCAGCCACTTGGGGGGTGAACCAATGGAGAAAGAGGAAGACCTTCCTCTCTGTCTCTCTCTCTCTCACTGTCTAACTCTGCATGCCAAAAAAAAAAAAGACACCCTCTTCTATCTGCCCCTATGTCATCCTCTCCCCATCTCTCCCCAATATTGCATTCCAGGAAATCGTTGATAGAAACCCTTCAGTACCAGGAGAGTGGCAACAACCCGTGAGAGCAATTCAGGAGCGCAATGTGCTGATGGAACTGACTTCTGGGATCCCACCTGAGGACAGAGACAAACATGGGACCTGGGGTGTGCAGCATGGGACCCGCACAGCAGAGAATGGTCAGCCAGTGCAGCCAGATGCCAGGGCTGCCGGAGGCTTT